AGCAAAAACTTTGAGGAGATCAAACGTGTAATAGAGGAGTAGAAACAAGAGCAGGGGTTTAAAACGGATTAAAGAGCAGCAGTAGTGAAAGAAGCTAAGTTGTAAATAAAATAAGGAATTACAAATTAATGAACGAGGAAATAAATTAAGATAAGTTTAATAGGTAGAAAGCAGGCTACATGAATAGGTAAGGGAAGGTTAGATGGGAAGTAGGTTAAGGATAGATTAGAAGGTTAGCGAATGTTAGATAAGAAGGTTTTATTGATAATTTTGGGAAGGTTATATGAGAAGTTTGGGTAAAGTTAGATGTGTAGGTTAAGTTAGGTTATATTGGAAAATTAGGGAAGGATATACGAGAAGGTTGAATGGGAAGGTTAGTAAGTATGAATGGGAATGTTGGATGGAATTGTTAGGGAATGTTATATGGGATCGTTCCTGTTAGGGATTACTAGATTGGAAGGTCAGGGAATGTTAGTAAAATATAAATGTGAATATTTAATGGGAAGGTTAGGGACGGTTAGATGGGAAGGTTATGGAATGTTAGATAGGTTGGTTAGAAAATGTTAAAGGGGATTATTAAATGGGAAGGTTTTGGTAATGTTAGTAAGTATAAGTGGGAAGGTTAAGGACGGTTAGATGGGAAGGTTATGGAATGTTAGATGGGTTGGTAAGCAAATGATATATGGGATTATTAAATGGGAAGGTTTTGGTAATGTTAATAAATATAAATGGGAAGATTATATGGAAAGGTTAGGGAATGATAGATGGGAAGGTTAGGGAATGTTAGTGATGTGTAAATGGGAAGATTATATGGGAAGGTTAGGGAATGTTTGAAATGAAGGAAATGAGGGATATATGGGAAGGTTAGGGAATGTTAGTGATGTGTAAATGGGAAGATTATATGGGAAGGTTAGGGAATATTAGAAAGGAAGGAAATGAGAGATAGATGGGAAGGTTAGGTAAAGTTAAACTAATCTTTCGTTCCGTACCTATGCAGTGAACTTCAGTACACTGACCGAAGAAATAATGGGTTTTAGGGGACAGTGATATTGAGATATGAAATGGATGAACTGTGATCAGAGAAAAAGGAGAAAAATTAAACAAAGAAAAATGTTTTACTTCTCACAAATCCCTAAAATAAAGTAGCATCAGAAATGTGCGAAAATGTTAAAGATCAGTGAACAGGTGTGTTTAAAGTACAATATGTTACAAGAGCAAGTACATAAAAGTAAAGAATTGATTGTTTGTGTGCGCTAATCTGACATGGATATAAAATAGAAAGAAGAGGGATGAGTACGAGAGGATTGTTGGACCTGGAAAAGATAAAGATCTTGGAAAAATCTGACCAGGCGTAACCTTGAGGACCGTCCTGGACAAAGGAACATAAAAATGAGATGGTTTGAATTGGACCAGGAGCCAGGGGACTGCGGAGCCAAGGAGCTTAAGTAACAAGAAACCATGGAACTCAGGAACAGGAAACAGGTATCTAGTACCTTCTACTAGATACCTGTTTAATTAGTTAGGTCTAATGAGTACCTTCTACTAGATACCTGTTTAATTAGTTACTTCTAAGTGGTACCTTCCGATTACCTCTACTTGCTTTTAAAACATACTCGGTCACTAATCTGTTCCAAGGTCTTATTAAAAGTACTGATCTATTCCATGTTCCTATTAGAGTACTGATCTGTCCCTAGTTCCTATTAGAGTACTGATCTGTTTCTGAGTAAGTTGCGAGTTCCTGAGTAAACTATGTGTTCCTAAGTAAATTATGTGTTCCTAGATAAAGTTTATGTTCCTGGGTAAAGTATGTGTTCCTGAGTAAACTATGTGTTCCCGAGTAAAGTATGTGTTCCTGAGTAAATTATGTGTACCTAACCTTGAAATTAAGGTTTTATGGTTTACGAACTGCATTTAATTATTTTTAAATTGTCTGCAATGTTTCAACTAAAATTTGCTAAATATCTAAAATTTAGCTCGAAATAGTTCTTTCAAAACTTTTCCTGCCATTTCTCTTCTTCAATTTGGTAATCTTCGAATATTTCTTCAAGTGATATTACGATATGTTTCATTTTCCATTTATCATCTTTAATAACATCAATTTAATTCCGCACTTTTTTCTTAATTTTTCCTGTCCATTCTTTTCTGAAGCGAACACTTCTGGTTAATTCTTCCTTTGCTTCCTTAACTCTCCAAAATCTTTTTCAAAGATCCTGAACTACAATATTCCTCTGCAATATCATCCCTTTTGTCATCTTGATCTAGCCCTCCCTCCTCCCCTCCCCCCAATCCAATTCGTCGTCTCTTGCTTCTCTTTTCCAATCCAATCCCTTCCTAAATGGTTTACACCACATTTACGTCCTGCTTTTCCACACAATCCCTCTCCGGGGTATAGATCCGTCCTCATCCTAACTTTTCACCTCCTTTTCTTCCTCCGGAGTATAGATTCATCCTTATCCTGGTTTCCCATCACGTTTTCTTTTTTTCCGGGGTATAGATCTATTCTTATCCTGGTTTCCTTTCCCATTTTCTTTCTTCGGGGTATAGATCTATCCTTATCCTGGTTTCCCTTCCCATTTTCTTTCCTCGGGTTATAGATCCATCCTTATCCTAGCTTTCCAACCCATTTTCTTTCTCCGGGGTATAGATCCGTCCTCATCCTAGCTTTCCAACCCATTTTCTTTCTCCAGGGTATAGATCCGTCCTCATCCTTGGTTTCCAGCCCATTTTCTTTCTCCGGGATATAGATCCGTCCTCATCCTTGGTTTCCAACCCATTTTCTTTCTCCGGGGTATAGATCCGTCCTCATCCTAGCTTTCCAACCCATTTTCTTTTTCCAGGGTATAGATCCGTCCTCATCCTAGCTTTCCAGCCCATTTTCCGTCCTTATCCTTGGTATCCAACCCATTTCCTCCGGGGTTGAACCTCGTCCACATTCTAGGATCCTTACCTGTTTTTGTCATCTTCATCCTATAGCTGTCCAACTACCTCCTTTTCATTATCCGGGGTTCAGATTCGCCCACATTCTGGGTTTCCAATCAATTTTCTCTTCCAGGGTTTGAATCTCATCTACATCCTTGTTTCCAAGACATTTTCTGCAGTGTCTGCCTCATTCTTGCCCCACCGTATCGTTTTCTCTCTTTTATTGTGGTTCATCCTGACTCTTTCTCATCCCTCTCTTTCTCAAGGTCCAACCCACTTGACCAGTCATATATCCTCTACCTATCCGTCCCACCTCTCCTAAACCCATCAACCCTTGACCACGTCCCAGATATCCGCCCATCCCTATCCCCGGCCCAAACTCCTCTCTTCTGTCTAAGTAGAATGACCTAGTGCAGTATATCACTAGATAATATCAATAGAATGCTTCAGTAAATCCTAAAATTGCCTAAACCTGAAATATTTGAACCAGGATACCAGGACACCAGGAACCGTTCTAAAGAAAGAAAAGTATCTTATCCATGTATTTATGTTATCTATCTCTAGGTTAATGAATATCCAAGGATACTGTTTTCTCTTTACATAAACTTGTGTTTATATACTTAAACATAGTGGCGAAAGATATATGTATGTATTTTCTTACATGTATCTGAACCAACTGTATCACTTAATTTCAAATTACCTTCCACTCCAAGATGCTCTGTTTACAATGGTACCCTTGAAACCTTTATCTGATCAATAATTTGGAAGATATTATCGTTTTTCTAGGTTTAAAAGTGTTCAATTCTGATAATTTGTACACATTTTCCTGCAATAGAAATTTCTCTTTTCTAGATAAACCACGATTGAAAATAGTCAGTTTCAAAATTCCTTCTTGATCAGACAGGGCTTTCAAGGGCACCGTTGTGAATCTAAGAGATGACACTTCTGTAAAAAAAAACAATGTTTCATTTTCGTATGGGATAAAGCTTATCTTCAACAACTGATCTCAATATCCACTACAGAAACTTTTAAATTAAAATTTAACACCTTAAATCAGGGAAAGTTTCCCATTAAAAATGAAATTTCAAAAACGACTTTACAGAGTTTGTCTTTTTCTTATACTCTTATATTTTTCTTCCTGCAACTGTATTGTTAAATCTAAAATGTTTAAGTCGTCGTTAAATTTTCATCCTTTGTGAGTAACCCTGTACATTGCCGCAAATGATGTTTTATTATTATTTTCGACATTTTTTCTGGAAACTCATGATCAGTTACTATTTATTATGCCTTATAGATTTTTTGTTGATTACTTATAATACCTTAATCATAATTTCTCTCAATTATAAAAAGAGAAGAATGTATCTTTATATTTTGTTTGAAATGAATAAAATAGAAGCAGAAAATAGTTTTAACGAGTTGTTTTATTTCGATATAAAATTATGTATGGCAGTTAAAACATATTTTTACATGAAATAGACAAAATTATCATGATTTTACAAACATAAGTAGAATGCTTTTAATTATATAGATGTATTTGAACAGTTACATATAAGCATTTATGGAGGTTTGGCCGTAAACAAGTTTGAAGCTTTTGAATTTTAATGTATAAATACGAAGACATAAATTACATTAAAATCTTAAAATAAAGTGGCTAAAAATATAATTTTCCTAAAATATATCACAAATTAATAAGTTTTAGCTGCAGGATTGAAATGGAAAAATAAATCTATTTTACTCCGTGTCCATCTTAAACCTAAGGTTGACGGGACACCCGGAGAAGTATAATGAAACCTAGAAGGAAGAGCGTCTCCTCTACGCCTGATAATAAATCTAAGTGCTTGGAATGTGCTTAATTAGAATATCACTGTAGTTAGACTTGGGTTTATTTAGCGCCAGGTGGAATTTAAATAAATCACGGGATGAAGCAACAGCGTCTCAGATGGATGCAAAAAAGTTCAAATGATTACGAATCAGTTTAATGAAAAAATATCAAAAATAATTTCTAAAATTACATCTTTGACTAAAAAGTCAAACTAAAGGCATAGTTACGTGTTTCTGATCAACAAATAAGTTGTTTAAAGTTTGGTTTAAAATATGTATAATTTAAAGTTGTGCACAGACAACAAAGTATGTATATTTCACATTGTACACTGAACACTGTACGCTGAAGAGAGAGGAAGAGAGCCGGCCATTGGAAGCACTTTATTCTGAGCTCGAATTCGTTGCATTTATATTGTAAACATATTCTTTAGGAAATATATCATCATAGGCAGGAGGAGGAGTATGGGAGACGGGACGTATTTCCTCCGGAGTACGTTGGATAGTTGACAGTTCTACTCCGCGCTCCGTCCCACTTCTCCGACTCTCTCGGTTCTCGGATATCGGGAGTCCAGATAGTCTAAAAAAATAAAGGAATTGAATCTTTGCCACAAACTCAAATTTTGTAATACCTGTATCTGTACAACCAAATCTCATAGACCTTAGATATTTCAAACTTTGAATTCTGTTAGATTTAGATCAAATAAATCAAGTTAGAAATATCAAAGGTTTACATCATCATGTTGCAAAGTTATAAAGATGATAAAATTTCAACCTATGGCAAATATTTAATTCCTTTGTACAATTTTTAAAAATCCGGATATAGGATATAGGATATAGGATATAGGATATAGGATATAGGATATAGGATAAAGATGTAAATCCTATATTTGCATAATATTTAAATAAAAAGAATAAACTGAGGGGTGGGACGGGTTTAACATTCGTCCTACGTCTCTACTAACATTAACCATGGAGAAACCAAACCTTACTCCTCCCTTGGCCTTATATCTTAACTAACCTAGGATTGAATAATGAATATGTTTGTATCATACATGTTTCTCAGGCTTTTTAATATTTCTAAAGATATTGAGGGTCGGGGATTATCTCCTGTTGATTAAATAATGTAATCCTGGGGTTTCACTGGTTTAAAAAATTTTGGTGATTCAATCTTTTAGTATTTTGGTGATTCAATCAATTTTATTTCTCAAGTTCAAATTCCTAATTGTTTGGAGTTCAGATGCCTTTTTGAGTCAAATCACTCAATTTCTATTAAGTTAGCCAAATCACTTGTAATTAGGTAGGTGAAAACATGTCTTATTGCTTATTTTTTAGTAGGTCAAAACACTTTTATTTAGTTTCTCAAATCACTTGTTATTAAGTAATCAAATCACTTGGGTTTTAGCAGGTCAATCAATCGTTATTCAGCAGGTCAATCAATTGTTATTCAGCAGGTCAATCAATCGTTATTCAGCAGGCCAATCAATTGTTATTCAGCAGGTCAAATTATAAAATCCAAATATATTTTAACCCAATAGATAAACATTTATATTTCAAACTTTTACTATTCGATTTTAGGACATACAACATAAGGTTGCAAAGATATATGATATATAATTGTGACTGTAAGCGTAATTTCAAGTTGCCCTTCATCGGTCACAACGGTACCCTTTAAAGCTTTGTCTGATCAATTAATTATTAATTTAATAATTTAGAGAACTGAATAATTTTCAATTGTGGTTTCTCTACATAAGTTGCGCATTTTTACTGCAAGAAGACATAGAAATTATCAGATTTTTACATTTTTCAATCTAGAAAAACGACAATATCTTCCACATATTTGTTCAAATTAAATAATGGTTTCAATGGCATCTTTGTAAATCGGGCATTGACATCTTTGCTTGGAGGGTAACTTGAAATTACGCTTAGAGTTCCTTTTATTTTAGATCTCAGCATTTAATTTAAAGTTTTTTTGTGATTTTGATTTTATAATTTGAATCTCAGAAACTAAACAAGATATATTTAAGATTTCACCTGATTGACTGGCAATCTGACCGTCTAGGACTAGAAGATTCTGGAACTCCGCTCCATTGACGGACACACACAACCACACAATATGCTGAATATTAAGATTATCAGCTGGCTCGAGCCCGTCCGTCCCCTATCAAACTAATGGTCGTCTAAATGACGTACTTTTGAGGACGATGTTTTTTTCCGCTAGATGTCTCCCGTTCTAACTATCTAATCTATCTATCAGATAAGAAGCTTATACGCAAGAAATCGAGGGGCCAAAATATCGTCCGTCAAAGTATGATATTATGGACGGACAATTTTAATACATAAGTTATAGATACGAAATGGACTCAGTTTGGGTAATGTTCAAAATACGAAACTAAAAGACAGAAAATTAGATTTTTTCGTTAAAAAAAGAATGAGTTTCATTTGGTCTTTCCTCCATGGCTGAATTTGTTCCTTAAGCTAATCAGAAGCGAGCATAAACAAATCCAGCGAATAAAGAGATACTACGTGAGGACTTGTTGACTAGATTTGAAAGAAGTAATTAAAGATTTATTTTTTACTTTTAAAAATCGGAGTAATAAAAAAATTATATTTGTTTCGGTTTTTATATGTTGCCTGAGAAAGGAAACATTAAAATTTTAACAAAAAACCATTAATATCTAAGATTTAAAGATCCTACCTAGTATAACTAGTACTCCTAGTGATACAATTATTATAATTTGTTTAAGCCTCAAATCCTCATCGTGTCCACCTTTACAAATAAAAATTAAACAATTCAGAACTTCTCAAAAAGTCTCTGAAATTTTAAGTTTAGATGAAAAACTAGATTTAAAGCAATTTAAATTTTGAGTTTAAAAACTATTAATAAGATAAGTTAATGAAAAGGAATTAACAGTGGGCCTGAATATCCCAAACATTTTCTTGCTAAAACCTTTCCAAAATCTAAAGTTGACTGCAGACGTAATTTCATGGATTTCATGACATTCCGTGTGCAGAGAAGCATGTCCAATTCACAACAGTACCCTTTGAACCTCTATCTGAGTAACAATGAGGAAGATATAGTCTTTTTTTTAAATCCGAAAGTCACTTTTATAGAGAAACCACCATTGAAAAAAAAACTTGTATCCCGGGCTTGAGATTAATCATACTAAGATTTAAACGATACTGTTGTGAATTAGACATGCCACTCTATGAATGAAGTGTCATTTGAAATATTGTCATCAGTCTCATTAAGGTCTAAAAACCTAGTGAAATAAACCAAAGTTGATTTTTTATTATTTTCACCTTCTTCTGTGTATTCAGTGATGGTTGGAGAGGGTGAAGGTTGGGTTGGTGGAACTGTAGTACTCATACATATATCTGGAGATTCATCCCGAGGACCTAGGATTAGAACACGTTTTACTCTCACACCCATCTCATTACATTCTATACTTAATAATATTTTTGCAAGGTTTTGTGTTGAGTGTAAACCATGGTTCAGGTTTGCAGGAATTTCCTGGTTATGTGAAGACAAAGAAAAAGTAAACTACAAGACTAGAAGGTGAAAGGTTTAATGTCCGTATAATTATCCGGGTAGAGGTTTACCACTAATTAGCGTTTGTATTTCTACATTTATATTCTCATCACCACCTTTATCATACTAGGCAGGCAACCTGCAGTAGACTTAGAGGATAACTGTACCCGGAGTAAACATGGAGTTATCTGATCAACTATAGAAATAAAAACCTGGATCTTAGGTTTATCTATTATCTAACTCAAATTATATGTTAAGTAAACCCTTTAATCATACTAGACTGTAGTAGACCTCGAGGATAACTTTACCCGGAGTAAACATGGAGTAATCCGATCAACCATAGAAATAAAAACCTGGATCTCGGGTTTATCCATTATCTAACTCAACCACCTTTATCATACTAGGCAGGCAACCTGTAGTAGACCTAGAGGATAACTATACCCGGAGTAAACATGGAGTAATCAGATCAACTATTTAACTAAGAACCTGGATCTCGGGTAACTAACTCAAAGTATATGTTAAGTAAACCCTTTTATCATACTTGACAGTAGTAGACCTAAATCAAACCCTCTAATAAAACCTGGATGTCGGGTTTATCTATTATCTTACTCAAATTATATGTTGATTGAACCGATCAAACATTCAAATGTAAAACCTGGATCTCGGCTCTCTATCTCTTATCCCATTAAAACCCATAAAAAGTGTTGAAGGGATTGTTTCTTTATTTGAAGATGCACACATAAATGTCCTTAATTTGAAACATAGGATCACTAATAATCTATTTGACCGCTTAAAATGAACCTGCATGGTAGACCCAGTGCCTCTTATCCTTGGAGTAAACTTTGAATTTTTGGAGTAAACATTGTATCCTTGGAATAAACCTTGTATCCTTGTAATAAACCTTGTATCCTTTGAGTAAACTTTGTATCCTTGGAGTAAACCTTGTATCCTTGGAGAAAACCTTGTATCCTTGGAGTAAACCTTGAATTTTTGGAGTAAACCTTGTATCCTTGGAATAAACCTTGTATCCTTGGAATAAACCTTGTATCCTTGTAATAAACCTTGTACCCTGGGAGTAAACCTTCTATCCTTGCAGTAAACCTTGTATCCTGTAAATAAACCTTGTATTCGTTGAATAAACCTTGTATCCTTTGAGTAAACTTTGTATTTTGGAGTAAACCTAGTATCCTTGCAGTGAACTTTGTATTCTTGGAATAAACCTTCTATCCTTGGAGGAAACCTTGAATCCTTGTGGTAAACCTTGTATTCTTGGAGTAAACCTTGTATTTTTGGAGTAAACCTTGTATTTTTGGATTAAATATTATATATTTGAGTGAAGACCATATACCTTTGGGGTACACCTTACATCTTTGGGCGTAAATCTGATATCTTTGTAGTAAACCTCATGTATTTAAAGTAAATCTAATATCTTTGGAGTAAACCTGGAGTAATCTAACTACCCTTAGGTTATAAAAATCTCGAAGTAATCTATACATATATACATATATATCTATATATATATTTATATTTGTACCTGGGTCTAATGGACAATTAATTTCTCCGTCACAGAAGAATTGTTTAGGTATAAACCTATGCTTGGTGGAACAACTCTCATATCTATAATTATATTTTGATATAAAAATTTATCTTATTGTTTTCAAGTTTAAAAATAATACCTTTCTTCTTGATGTTTCTTGTATTGCGTTATCACAATTTTCAGTTTTACGACAGGGAAGGTTTCTCTAAATCAAGTTTAATCTCACTTATAATTTCTCTAATAAATATTGAAATCAAAGATTCTGTCTTGGTGCAAAAAGTTCAATTTTTAATCTGCATTTCAAGTATCATATAGAGTATCATATAAGGATATAAGATGCCTCTAGTATTTAATTTTAAGGAACTGAATGCTCGCTTCAAACTCTAATGTTCTTATCCTTAAATCTTTAAAAACTGATATATTAAACTATGAATTATGATGGATCAAATAGTCTTAATAAAGAATCAAGAACAAAAATGTGATTTTAAAGAAATTATGCATGACGCCTTTGGTGTCCAATATTACACAGATGTAAATTATACATTACGTCTTTAATGTCAAATATTACACAGATATATCATATAAATTATGCATGACGTCTTTGGTGTCAAATATTACACAGATGTAAATTATGCATGACGTCTTTGGTGTCCAATATTACACCGATGTAAATTATGCATGACGTCTTTGGTGTCCAATATTACACCGATGTAAATTATGCATGACGTCTTTGGTGTTAAATATTACACAGATGTAAATTATGCATGACGTCTTTAATGTCAAATATTACACAGATGTAAATTATGCATGACGTCTTTGGTGTCAAATATTACA